AAAAAAAAAAAAAAAGAATTAAAAATTAGAATATCAGAAATTTGAGATATTAACCAGAGATACGAACTAAAATTTATTAGAAAATACCATATTAAAATGTAACAGTCTTATGCTAAAATAATCTGAAAATCTGAATACAAAGAGTGATTTTAAGACAATATAAGTGGACAAAAGGGTGAAAAAAAGAAGTGGAAAACTTGAATACACCTGGCGAGGGAAGAAAAATTATTGGAGAACATGCTGCTAGGCTTAGTTGAGGTTATACAGATAGCTTCATCCACACCTATGAACAGATAATTATCCAGAACACAGGAAAATATAGAAGAATTCCCAGTTCAATTTAGGTGTTGTAACACTGACATAAAAGCCTTTAGAAGACAGTACAAAAGTGAAAATCACAAATCAGTCACTTTAAATTAAAAAAAAAAAAAGTTAAAAATACCATTAAGCCAAATCCAGCATTATGTTCAAAACAAGTATGGGTTATTTGCAGAAATACAAGAATGTTTAAGTGTTAGAAAATACATTAAATATCTCAGTGTTAAATAAGAAAATTTTATATTATCATGATAGTTGATCAGGTTGTTGGAGGAAAAATCTTACTAAATAAGAAAGCAAAAATTCTTCTTTAACCATGTAAAGATAAGTAAAACTAACAGCCCACATTATAATGAACACAGAAGCACTACCAATATACTCTATGTAAGTCAAGAAAGAATAAGACAAGAATGCTTGCCAATAACATTTTTAAATAATAGAAAGACCAGATTAAAAAGTGAGAGGTATAAGTATTTCAAAGGAGGAGACATTAGATTATTTCTAGATGCTATGATTGTCTACTTCAAAAACCCAAGAAAATTAATTGAAAAGTTTTAGAACTAGTAAATGTATTTAGGAAGTTATTTGGTGACCAGATCTATACACAAAAATAGTTTTCAGGGAAGGTGGTGAAGTTGGAGGCACCTGTAATCTGTCTCTGCACCGAGGCAAAAATTGCACTGACAGAATCCGTCTCCCTCTCAAAATAAATAAATAAAACTTAACGTGCTCAAAGAAGAAAAAAAATCAAGATGGTCTTTCAAAAGTGAGGGCATTCTTTCACAAAAATGAGACCTTCCCAAATAAAATAAAGCTGAGGGAGCTCATTACTACTAGCCCTGCCCTGTAAGAAATGCTCAAGGGAGCCCTGCAGGGTGAGATGTAAGGACAGGAGACAGTAACTCCAAGCTTTATGAAGAAATAAAGATCTCGATAAAGGTAAACACGCAAGCAACTAAAAGTCAGTATTGTAACAAATGTTTGAACTCCACTTTTTGTTACATGATTTAAGAGCCTAATATCTTCTAAAAAAAATATTTGCTGTAAAAGCTAGCATTGTTGTGACTTTGGTTTGTAATTCCATTTTTTGTCTACATGATGCATTTAAGAGGCTAATGCATTTAAAATAATTATTAGTTTGTATTTCGTGACATCTGCTACTGACAGGGTGGGGGTGGGGCTGTAAAGGAGCAGAGGTTTTTTGTAGGTTATTGACGTTAGCTGGTATAAAGTCAAATTAGAGTGTTACATAATTTTCAGACCTTAAACGTAATCCCCATGGGAAACACAAAGAAAATAGCTAAATATACACAAAAAAATGAGAATTGAAATGTTGCATTCACTATAAAAACCAACTTAAAAAAAGACAATAATGCAGGAAATGAGAGACAACAAAAGACTATAAGGTATATAGAAAATAATAGCAAAATGGTAGAAGTAAGTTTCTTCTTACCAGTATTTACCTTGAATATAAACAGATTAAATTCTCCAATAAAAAGAGAAGAGATTGGCAGAACGGATAAAACTACAAGATGCAACTATATGCTGTCTACAGGAGACCTATTTTACATCTAAAGACACATAATGAAAGTGAAAGGGAGGAGAAAGATAATCCATGTAAATACTAACCAGAAGAGAGCAAACGTGGTGATAACATCAGACAAAATAAACTTTATTATTATTTTTTTAATATATGAAATTTATTGTCAAATTGGTTTCCATACAACACCCAGTGCTCATCCCAAAAGGTGCCCTCCTC